CACAACAATATGACTGGATACTATTGCCATTATTTACCTTACATACAAATGGTTAATAAAACCAGACCAAATACCATACCGTTTTAGATGAAGTGACGGCATACAGAGGGATTGGTAGTTTGATCATAAACCTATCAGCTTGAATATATAATCTCTGTTAAGGAAATGGAGTTACCCCATGGACAAAACTAATTAGATACAGGTATGTAATACTGGTACACTCACCCACAGGCTTAATGTCAGGCTCGCATGGATAAGCCCCATACGTCACCATATCCAGTCAAAAATACCTGTCTTGAGGAATGCAAATGATGCACTGTAAAACGCAGTACAGACCTCTCCAAAAAAATTACTCCGAGACTGGGTTCACACTATGTGCTGCGGGACACTGCAATTCACACAGGAATCGAACTGCATTCCGTTGTGAATTACATGCAATGTCTGTGAGGTTAGATTGGAGCCATACATTTTGTATGGCTCAAATTGCATCGCATCCACACCAAAAAGGTGCAGGACCCTTTCTGTACCCACACGAGAATCGCATCACATGGGTGTTCTCACCCATGCGATGCGATTTTGGCAATCCGACCGTGACCCGGAAGCCGCCCACCCGAAGATGTCAGCAGCTGGGGGGTTTGCTCCGGGACAGCACATCTCGGGATCAGAGGCGAGTATAGTTCCACTTTAAGCAGACCTTCAATCATACTTTGCCTATAAAAGAACCTAATCACTCCCCACTCCCCCTTTTCACACTTCTCTAGTTTTGGTTTTTGGGGGGGGCATGGATGTGTTGGGAAGCAAGTACCTTTTCCATCAGGTACTTGTTCCTAGTTCTGTATTCTGCCAGTACCCCCAGGTTTCAGCCTCCTTGGATACATATCACACATCCCAGGAAGCTACAGGACCAGTCTCTGCAGTAGGGGAGCAGGCTGCAACTCAACAGGAAGTCACAGCAAATCCACCATCTTACAGTACTTAAAGTTTTGTAAAATTGGCTGAAGTTCCTCAGCCAGAGGGGGTGCCGTCTTAGCCTCTGCCTGATCCACAGCTGCTGATGTGATCAGTTATGATGCTTATGACACATTTGATGGTTTGACAGCTAGGTTGAGAACACAAGCAACTGTGACCATTATCATTCGAGGCATGCATTGAATGTAACCATTTTGGGAAAAAGTTTCCTCAAAAAAGAAGTAACAGGTGATGCACCAGGATCAGTGTGAAGGCACTGTTCCTCCCATAGCACACCAACGGATGTGCATTCTGCGTGACTACTGGTGTGCATGAACCTTAAAATAGTATTAAAGGTTCGGCTTTTTTTTTTTAAATAGCAAACATGTCATACTTACCTGCTTTGCGCAGTGGTTTTGCACAGAACAGCCCTGATCCTCTACTTTTCTGCCACCTCCCCCTTGACCAGTGCCCCAAATAGCAAGCCGCTTGCTATGAGGGAACTGGTGCATGCTTGCTCCTGAGCCACATGCATAAGACACATAGAGCCACAGCTCGGCCCCCCTCTGCTCTCTTCCTCATTGGCTCACTGGCTGTGACTGACAGTAGTGGGAGCCAATGGCTCCTGCAGCTGTCTTAGCCAATGAGGAGAGGGAGTCTTGGGACAGCGGAAGCTCTCATGCACATTGCTGGATTGAGATGGAGCTCAGGAAAGTATTAGGGGGGCTGTGGGGGGAGCAGCACACAGAAGGTTTATTACCTTAACAAAATACAACGAAAACTTGTAAACGCTATGCCAAATTCTCCGAGCCAAAAATGTGATACATATATACTAGCAGATCGCTTGCACCATACACATAAATGTGCCAATAGTAATAAGATATCATAAGTGTGCCGCGCTCCACTCAAAATTACAGCAAACTAAAAGCATAAAAGTGCTAATAATAATTTAATCTCGCGCTCCATAAAATGCATGAAGGTAATAAAACCTTCTGCCTTTACAACTGCTTTAAAGGAGATATAACCCATAACTGAATGTTTGCTAAAGCACTGTATCATAAGCACAGTCATTTTATTCAACCCCTAGACACCGAGTACACACAAATATGCGACCTCTCGGCGTCTGGGCCTTGATGCTGAGCGGCCGCATATTTGCGTGCAATTAGAAAATACATATGTGCCGAGAGCGCCCGCCCTGCGTGCTCCCCCAGCACATATGTCAGTGACTCATGGAAAGGTCCCGATCTCCCCTTGAGATTAGGAACTTTTACGATCATGTGACCGCCAATCACGGCGGTCACATGATCCTAACACCCCGCCCTGCCTCCCGGCACTCGTAGCCTCCCTAGCGATCTGATTATGTACATATTTCTGTGCTCAAAGCGGAACATTTTTTTGCATGGAAATATGTTTTTTTTTCTTGTTCAAACATTTTATTGACAATGAAGCAATGTAACAGGGACAGAGTCATTACCAGCATAACATAGGCACTGTACTGACAACAAAACATAGGAAATAGAAAATCACAGCGTCAATGTCCTTATGGTAAGGAGGAAAGAGAGGATCACAAAAACAATGCTAAGTTTCTGGTGATTACTAGTGAATGGGAGTTGTTAGCGATAGATTTCGTGAATTTTGTCAGTTAGGATAATGGCTCACTGAACATTATGAAAGGTTGGAGAACTTTAGGGGGAGATCGAAGGGGGGCGGGAACGGAAATGTTTTTTTTATATTGTAGGTCTGTAATTTTTAGGAATAACTCACTGAATTCTGTCCAGACAAGAGTCTAGTAAACATCCCGGGTATGTTAAAATTTGAAACACAAAATCATAAATTATAATTTAATAATCATAAAAAATAATAATATAATAATAAATTTTATTCAATAATATAATCAAACCAAAAACACTGAAATGTGAAATAGAGCGCCAAGTTCGCACATCACTGAGCAAAGTCGCAGAATCGTTTTCAGTGTCTGATGACGAATTTCCCCCATGAATCATTATCATTCAATTCTGCAAGTGGTTCTGATTTACTATCGCTGTTCTCTAGCCGGTCTAAAACCGATTTTGACCTAAAGGGACGCTTTTTGGACGCCATGGACGTTTCTCAGTTTCCAGGCAGAAAGAACAGACAAAATGCAGGCAGGGCGCAGGACAAAGCACTCGGGACAAAATGTATGTGAAATGGTTTGATACAGGAATGTTATACTATGTGATTTTAGTGTGTTTAGTGAATGTCACTTAAACAATTTTCAAATTTCCCGCCAGTTCTGTCCCCGTATGTCCCGACGTCACAGGGACCGGAACCCTGAAGACAGATGCCGGCATCGGCCGGAGGACATTGCCAGGGACACTGCAGGGAGGACATCGCAGGAGTGCAGGACAAGGTAAGTGCAGAAGAGATCCCGAAGCAACGCTGCAGTGTATTCCCGAGTGTAGCTCAGGGTTACCACTTGAGTGCTGAAACTTTACACTCGGGAATACCTCCAGGGAAGTTAAAAGTCTGGGAGGCAATGACCCCCTGCAAACTCTTTGCAGTGATTTTCTGTCTACATGCACTTCAATGGTGGCTGCAATGGCATTTCTCAGGATGGATATCCCATTGGTGAGATCAATAAGACTATGTCTGTGTCATGTGTGTTGAAAACCGCCACTACTAGTCATCAGAAGCCTGTTGGAGGACGGGGGATGGAGCATAGTCTGTGCAAGTGCCTGAACGAGGACCTTAATGGCAGGCTGACCAAGGGTTATTGGATTGAAAGTTATCCATTTAAAAATATTGACAAAAAAAAATTTAAAAAGTGACATTAGCATGTTAAAGCTTACAAACGATTTCAGGGTTTTTAATCTACTTAACCCCTAACTACTCAATGGCTCACAACTCTACATGAGATCTTGGAGCTTTCTGCAGAACCTCACTAAACTATACGTAAAAGGCCGCCATCTACACAGTCATTAGGGCAAGTATTCCAGATATCATTATACACATTACCATAGAGCACATGCTCTACCCCCCCCCTCCCAAAAACAGGCCCATTCTCGCCTAGCACCCCCTTATTCAGTAAGTACGGGTATGAACTTTAGATCAGTGTTTTTCAACCTTTTTTGTGCAAAGGCACACTTTTTTCATGAAAAAAATCACGAGGCACACCACCATTAGAAAATGTTAAAAAAATTTACCTCTGTGCCTATATTGACTATATATAAAGTAATTCTCTTGAATAGGAATCAAACACAAAGAAATTATTTTATAATTACTTTATTATGAAATTAAGTATTTTATAATTGGACCCGGGGGCCGGACCAAGAGTAGATGAATGATGTGTATGCGTCATCCATGGTAAGTATAGTAATATTCCCCCATAGTAAGCATAGTAATTAATCCCCCAGTAATAGTAATTCATCCCCCATATAGTAATTCATCCCCCCTATAGTAATTCCCCCATATAGTAATTCATCCCCCATAGTATTTCATAGTATAGTAATTCATCCCCCATATAGTAATTCATCCCCCCTATAGTAATTCATCCCCCCTATAGTAATTCATCCCCCCTATAGTAATTCATCCCCCATATTAGTAATTCATCCCCCATATAGTAATTCATCCCCCATATTAAGTCCCCAAGAATTCCCCCCTGTGTCAATTCACTTACCTTTGCTCCGCTCGTTCCTCTCGCCGATTCTGTGTAGCATGAAAAGCTGTCTCCTATGAGGATCTGTCCCCCTCGATGTATCTGCGCATGTGCCAGTTTCAGGCATTAGCAGCCGATCGGCGATCTCCGGCACATGCGCAGATACGTCGAGGGGGACAGATCATCCTGACAGTATCACGCTCCGCGGGCCGGATTAAAAGGTCCGCCGGGCCGTATACGGCCCGCGGGCCGTAGTTTGCCCATTGCTGTTCTAATGATTGGTCTATTTGTGAGCCGAGGCCACGTTACGGATGAAATTGCAATTTTTCCCACGGCACACCAGACAATATCTCACGGCACACTAGTGTGCCGCGGCACAGTGGTTGAAAAACGCTGCTTTAGATGACAGATAACCTACCTCTTCTGTCGGGGTGAGGTCACTGGTGGGGAATACATCTTGGGCTCCCCATGGATGTCGGATGGTGGTTCCCACTGTGTGGTCCCAGTGGGTACATGCCAGTAGTATGTTCCGGACGTGTCCTGCACCCTAACCCACCCAGAAGGCAGATCGGAGTCTGTGTCCATGGCATTCCTTGGCCAAAAACAATCTGTGGAGACAATTATTTTTTAATAACCATAGAAGACAGAGGTACGCCTGGGGCTAGGCTGGTTTGTAAACAGACCTCTAAACCATCTGTACTGCAACCTGAGCTGAGAACCCCTATCCAGCCATCCTGATTTTTGATGGGGTCATTGTAGGTTTAGGTGGTTAATCTGCCTCTTAGTAAATCCAGAGATGTCCATTTTGGTAGCAGAGTTATGGACTGGAAAGCTTTCATATGGAGAAGCCCATAGATGGATCGAATCTCGGCCAGTCCCTGCTGAACCAACCAAATTTCAATCCATGTATGGCCGGTTTTAGCCTTCTGATCAACCGTTTTGTTTATCTTTGTTCCTCCTTTACCATACGACACAATACTATTCCTAAAAACTATTGCCATATTAATGGTTCATGGTACTCTATTGTCCTTCCATTATTCCTTCAATGTTGCGTTTTCCCTGTTTGTAACCAATCCATTATATCTCCTTTTTCTAGTGCATCTTTCTCCATTGTATAAATAATTATTAAAATCAATAAAAGATATAAAAAAATGTTTTTTGCTATGTATACATTTTAGTAGTGATGCACCAATTTATCGGCCATTGAAAATTGTCGGTTGAAAAAAAAAGAGTTCAGTGTTTGACCAATAGAAAAAAACAAAACAAATGTGACAATAATGACAATTGACTTCAATACAAAATCATGTCCCATTGATATCAATGCAAAATCGCATCCCCCTGATTTAAATGCATAAACGTCCCCTACTGACATCAATGCAAAAAGCCTCTATTTAAGTTTTTTAATTTTATATACATTTCATTTTTTATTTTCTGTCCAATTTTTCTGTGTTACTTTCAATAAAAGTTATTTTACGTTACTGGATTGTATTTTTTTTTTAATTCATGTTCATCTAAATTCATATTAAAAAGTTGAACATATTATACAATTATGTAAAAAAAAAAAAAAAAAAAAAAAATATATATATATATATATATATATATATATATATATACAGTCATGGCCGAAATTGTTGGCACCCTTGATATTTTTCCTGAAAATCAAGTATTTCACACAAAAAAGGTATTGCATTAACACATGTTTTGCTATACACATGTTTATTCCCTTTGTATGTATTGGAACAAATATAAAACAGAGGCAGAAAAGCAAATATGACATAATGTCACACAAAACCCCAAAAATGGGCTGGACAAAAGTATTGGCACCCTTAACTTAATATTTGGTTGCACACCCTTTGGAAAACATAACTGAAATCAGTCGCTTCCTATAACCATCAATAAGCTTCTGACACCTCTCACCCGGAATTTTGGACCACTCTTCCTTTGCAAACAGCTCCAGGTCTCTCTTATTGGAAGGACACCTTTTCCCAACAGCAATTTTAAGATCTCTCCACAGGTGTTCAATGGGATTTAGATCTGGGCTCATTGCTGGCCACTTCAGAACTCTCCAGCGCTTCTTTGCCATCCATTTCTGAGTGCTTTTTGACGTATGTTTGGGGTCATTGTCCTGCTGGAAGACCCAGGATCTTGGACGCAAACCCAGCTTTCTGACACTGGGCCCTACAGTGCGACCCAAAATCCTTTGGTAATCCTCAGATTTCATGATGCCTTGCACACAGTCAAGGCACCCAGTGCCAGAGGCAGCAAAACAACCCCAAAACATCATTGAACCTCCACCATATTTTACCGTAGGTACTGTGTTTTGTTCTTTGTAGGCCTCATTCCGTTTTCGGTAAACAGTAGAATGATGTGCTTTACCGAAAAGCTCTATCTTGGTCTCATCTGTCCACAAGACGTTTTCCCAGAAGGCTTTTGGCTTACTCAAGTACATTTTGGCAAACTGTAGTCTTGCTTTTTTATGTCTCTGTGTCAGCAGTGGGGTCCTCCTGGGTCTCCTGCCATAGCGTTTCATTTCATTTAAATGTCGACGGATAGTTCGCGCTGACACTGATGCTCCCTGAGCCTGCAGGACAGCTTGAATGTCTTTGGGAACATGTTTGGGGCTGCTTATCCACCATCCGGACTATTCTGCGTTGCAATCTTTCATCAATTTTCCTCATCCGTCCACGACCAGGGAGATTAGCTACAGTGCCATGGGTTGCAAACTTCTTGATAATGTTGCGCACTGTGGACAAAGGCAAATCTAGTTCTCTGGAGATGGACTTGTAACCTTGAGATTGTTGATATTTTGCCACAATTTTGGTTCTCAGGTCCTCAGACAGTTCTCGTCTCCTCTTTCTGTTGTCCATGCTTAGTGTGGCACAGACAGACACACAATGCAAAGGTTAAGTGAACGTCTCGCCTTTTTATCTGCTTTCAGGTGTGATTTCTATATTGCCCACACCTGTTACTTGCCCCAGGTGAGTTTACAGGAGCATCACATGCTTGTAACATTCTTATTTATCCGCAGTTGTGAAAGGGTGCCAATACTTTTGTCCAGCCCATTTTTGGAGGTTTGTGTGACATTATGTCGAATTTGCTTTCTTTCCTCCCTTTTTTTGTTTTGTCCCAATACACACAAAGGGAATAAACATGTGTATAGCAAAACATGTGTTAATGCAATACGTTTCGTGAGAAATACATGATTTTCAGGAAAAATATCAAGGGTGCCAACAATTTCGGCCATGACTGTATATATTTTTTTTTTTTTTTTTTTTTTAAACTGTTCATTTCAGTTTTGGTTTTTTCGGCCAAGTGCATCCTGAATTTTTGGTTTTGGTCCAGAATTTTCATTTCAGTGCACCACTACATTTTAGGCAATCATCTATTTTGCCCTGCATGGGTCAATTTAATGACACAGTAGAACATGTAAAACCAAACAAATCACAAGAATCTATAGACAAGGAGACAGAAACAAAAGCATGAAAGTCAGAAATACAACAGAAACAGATACAACCAAAGGGATTAACAAAGGAAAGAGAAAAGTTTGGGGGGAGAAAAGGAAATGAATGGCCTACTTCAAGGTAACAGTCACGTGGCAGGAAAGGTATCTGTGTACTGTGGTCCTTAACCACTTCATGCCTAAGGGTAAACCACATCTAAATGCCTAAGCACAATTTTGCAATGTTGACATGTGTTAGTAAAACCGTACACATCATCACTACTTTGTACATTCAGGTGGATTACACCTTGTTTTTTTTCAGGACACATTGGGCTTTCATTTGGTGGTAAATGGTAATGAATATCTCCTGATTTTTTTTTTTTATTATCAAAAGGAAAATTGGCCCCAAAATAATAAAAAAGAAAATCATTATTTATTATTTAGCTGTGTGTTTCTTGTTACTACCATAACCTACCACCAAAGAACAACCCAAAATAAATTCTCCAGCTCTTGACGATCGCAGCGATACCATATATATGTGTATGTTCATTGTTGTTTGTACGCGTAGTACAGCCCAGAAACAATAGTGCGCATTTTGTTTTTGTCTTTTTTTTTTACCTAAAAACACACGGACATTGATACCAAATTGACCTTTGACCCCGACCTTTGACCTTGACCCAAACACTAACCCTGGCACTGAACTAGATCAAACCTTGATCTAGGTATTTTCTTTATTTTTTAATATTTATTTATTTTTTACAAAATTTTTTCTCTCTCTATGCCAGGAGTCAGAGAGACACAATATATCTCTCTCCTTCATTCATAGAGAGAGAAAAAAAACAAGGGAGGCTGGGTTGTACAGAGACTGATCACTGTGATAGTGTAACGGACCGCTTGACAGTACCTCTATCCATCCCCTGATAGAGCCTCCCCAGAGTGCGGAGTCTAAGTACCAGAGCACTTGTTCACCAGGGCCCCAGGTCGCAGCTGCTAGGTATCTCTACCAGAGGTAGTGGAGTCTGCCAAGGGCTCCAGCGGGTTAAGAGTCTGATGTGAGGGAGCCCGGGAAACCCTGAGTGATGGATGGACGGATGAGCAAAGTCAGAGTCAAACAAGCCGGGTCGGTAACTAGCGGGTCGGTGAGGTACAAGACGATAGGCAAAGAATAGTCGGGTCACACGCAGGGTCAATACCAAAAGATCAGATCTATAAGGGAACATCCAGGAGCAGAGTCAGGCAAGCCAAGGGGTCAGGACAGGAGAAGGCAACAAGGTCAGACAATCCAGATCAGAGTACTCACTACACAGGCAACAGGATACAAAAGACCATTCGGCAACAAGCATCTGTGCAGGGCTGGCTTAAGTAGCCCGCCCTGCACCTGACAGGTGCCGCCTAGGTCCCAGTGCCTGCCTAGTACTGTCAAGACGACGGGTGCGCCTGGGTCCTAGTGCCCTGCTACCTGCACGTCTTGACAGACGCCTACGCATGTGTAGACCCATGCGTCGCGATGGTCCCTGACATTTAGCCTCTGACTGGCTATCACAGCGATCCTGTGACCCGGAATCGGGAGTCCAGGGGCCCGATCATTAGAACAAGACCTGGTGCTCTCCGTGATACTGCGGTCTTTATGCAGGGAGCATGCTGTGCGGTGCGCTCCCAGCACAAAGACAGGTAAATATGCAGTCCCACAGAAAAAAGCCCAGTTCTGTGAGGCCGCATATTTGTGTTTTACGTCGGTGTCAAGGGGTTAAATAAAGGCTCTGTATCTCACCTGTGTCATCCGGGGAGCCATAAGATGGACTACCCTGAGACAGAGTCGCCCAACTGGAGTCCTCGTCGCTTCCAGCCGTGTTCCTCATTCCAAACAGCAAGCTTGCACTGCGCCCGGTGTCTCTGGGGCCATCAGTCATCTCTTTGCTGTTCTCCTGAACCTCGGAGCTCTGTTCAGAAGTCTCTGTTGTGACAGGATCTGTGACCTCGCTCTGAGCCGGTGTCAGATCGTCATCCTCGTCTTCTCCGTCTTGGATGAGCAGAGGGGTGTTGATGATGCCGCTGCGATTGACGCAGTTCAGAGCCGATACTTCTAGTTCCTCCAGCTGGGTCTGCTTGTTGCTCTTCTCTTGGTTCCAGTTGGTCCAGTCTTTGTTACCACATTCTGGATCCGGGTTGCAGTTCTGGTCCTCTTTCTCGTGCTCGGCCGCTTTGCGAAGCTGGTTCTGCCCTTCCTTCAGCCACTTAGGGTTGGTGTGTTCAGACGGGGCGCCTCCGCCGAGATCGGCGCTGACGAGCCCCATGGCGCTCTGCAGGTCAGTGTGGGCATAAATCTGGCGGCTCTTCGGGGAAAGGAGGTCGTTGTGAGAAGAGATGAGGTTTAGGGTGAGGGCAGACACTGGACTCTTCTCTGTTATAGGTCCAGACATACTAACGGTGAGGCTGAGGGAGAGATGCAAAGAAGTCAAATATCTGAAAACATCAGCATCAATCAAGTTCAGTGTCACCTACCAATCCTGATGGTACACACAGTTACAGCAATCCTGTCACTACTGCAGAAAGCCCATTTATGAGTTACAAAAAAAAGGTTTTGCTGCAATGTAAAATGTCTTCTGATTGGAGGAGGCAACATCACCGTCAGCCACTCCCAAACCAGAGAATGCTTTGTATTCATTCAGAAAATGGCATCAGTGCTAAGCGGCCGACCTCCTATGTTTAGTGTGAGTGCGGCTACTCAACGAGGGACCCGGGAGCAAGTAGAGATCGCTGGAATCATCTTGTCTATACAGATAGTTCCAGCTTCCAGGGGCATCGACCAGGTATGGTATATACATAGTTACACTGGCCCAAGCTGGAACAACGTACCCATGTATTATCTAGCCTTACCTGGAGTTCTTCTTTAATATTGTTCTTTCCCCATGGAGATCCTTTATTCCTGTAAATCCTCCATTGAGATTTATCCATTGCAGGCCTGTCACAAACAAGCGTAATCAGAAAATGATCCTGATCTGAACAACCCCACAATGTCTGCCAATTATCAATGCGCACTTATGACAGCAGAACTGGGCAGCATCTAGATCAGGGGGGTCACCAAACTACAGCCTGTGGCCCACATCTGGCCCGCTACGAGATTTTACCCTGCCCACAGCAACTTGTCCTGTATTTACATTGTGTTTCCAAGGTGCAGCAACCATGACAAATAAATGATGCTGAGCAGCTGGAACACACAGTGTCACTTGTTGCTATGGAACTGACAGCCAGCCTGACTGCAACATGGAATTTCAGGGTGTTGATCCAGAGCCATCCCAGCATTCAGAAGAGGACCTGCTCCACCTTCCACCCTGTGCCATGCTCTGGTGAAGACTACAATGTAGGACAGAAGAACTAAAGCAGCACACAGATCAGTCAGTTTTATTTGGCAGCCAACAGGTTGAACAAGAAATACAAAAAAAAAAAAAAAAAACTGAAGACATTTCTTGGAGTGTATTTATACATGTAGTGTAAAGGAGGAGGACCCTGATCTAGATACCACAAAGCTCCTAATTCACCCCCTGGTAATCTCTCGCCTTGACTACTGCAACTCCCTCCTCATTGGCTTACCTTTACACAGGCTACCCCCCCTCCAGTCCATCATGAATACTGCTGCCAGGCTCATCCACCTTACCAACTGTTCAGTGTCTGCTACCCCCTCTCTGCCAATCCCTCCACTGGCTTCCAATCAGTGTCCTCCACCCCTCTCTGCCAATCCCTCCACTGGCTTCCAATCAGTGTCCTCCACCCCTCTCTGCCAATCACTCCACTGGTTTCCAATCAGTGTCCTCCACCCCTCTCTGCCAATCCCTCCACTGGCTTCCATTCAGTGTCCGCCACCCCTCTCTGCCAATCCCTCCACTGACCTCAAATCAGTGTCCTCCACCCCTCTCTGCCAATCCCTCCACTGACCTCCAATCGTGTGTCCTCCACCCCTCTCTGCCAATCCCTCCACTGGCCTCCACTCAGTGTCCTCCACCCCTCTCTGCCAATCCCTCCACTGACCTCCATTCAGTGTCCTCCACCCCTCTCTGCCAATCCCTCCACTGACCTTCAATCAGTGTCCTCCACCCCTCTCTGCCAATCCCTCCATTGCCCTTCAATCAGTGTCCTCCATCCCTCTCTGCCAATCGCTCCACTGGCTTCCACTCGCCCAACAAATAAAATTCAAAATACTAACAACTTACAAAGCCATCCACAACTCTGCCCCCAGTTACATCACCAACCTGGTCTCATAATATCAACCAAAGCGCTCTCTTCAATCCTCCCACGACCTCCTGCTCTCTAGTTCCTGTGTCACCTCCTCCCATGCTCGCCTTCAGGACTTTTCCCGAGCTTCTCCCATCCTATGGAATTCTCTATCCCAATCTGTCTGGCTGTCTCCTAATCTATCCACCTATAGACGATACCTGAAAACCTCTTTCTTTAAAGAAGCCTATCCTGATTCTATCTAGTAAACCACCATGTATTTCCTCCATCAGCTGATCCCCCCACAGCTATTACCTTTTGTATCACTCAACCCTTCCTCCTAGATTGTAAGCTCTAACGAGCCGGGCCCTCTGTTTCCTCTTGTACCAAATTGTATTGTAACTGTAATGTCTGCCTTCATTCTGTAAAGTGCTGCGCAAACTGTTGGCACTATATAAATCCTGTATAATAATAATAATAATCTAGATAAAAGGATCTATTTTTTAAAAAATTAGTTAGACAAATATTGCAAGCATTCATTCAGTCCTCACAAATTCTTATCATATTTTCCTTAAGTTAAGCAGTTTCACCTCATTACAGGTGGACATCACATGTCCTCCCGAAACGTGTCCTGTGTGCAGCTGTGCTGCGGGCACAATTTATCACTGGCTGTGTCCACCCGCTGCAGGTACCATATGATTACTGTGACCAATCATAGCAGATCACATGACAATTGTAAACAATGAATGGCTTTGATTAATGCCATTCATTGTGTACAAATGTGTTGCTAGATGTAACAGTGAGCACATGGTACAGGCAGGGCCAATCACAGCTAATCACAACAATACACACTGAATGAATCAATTTTATTCAGTAAAAATGGTTGATTATACCAGTAAAATTCACTGGTATAAGCAATCAGTGAATCCTGATTACTTCCCCATAGTAATGCAATGTTCCTGTAACATTATATTACTCTGATCACAGTGTGTTAAAAAAAACTGCAATTAAAAAAAAGAAAAAAAAAAGATGAAAAAAAATCTTTTTTTTCATACCATCACCAGTCAGTGTCATTGATCAGTGCCACACAACTTATAGGATGACGCTGTAATGGACTGGTGACAGAATGAAAAAGAAATAAAGTAAAATAATTGAACATTTTTTTTTTTCATTTCTTCATTCTCAAAAAAAATTATGACAAAAAAATACAACTTAAACATGCCATGTCTCTTACTAAATACCTTGGACTTTTCTAGCATTTTTGGGGCCTCAAGAAATGAGATCAGACATCAGCATTGATCAATTTTCATTCGTATACACAGACACATATACACACACACAGTGAAGGAAATGCGTATTTGATCCCCTGCTGATGTTGAATGTTTGCCCACTCACAAAGAAATGATCGGTCTAAACATCGAATGTTCGGTGTATTGTAACACTGAGAGACAGAATAGCAACAAAACAATTCAGCAGAAACGCATGTCTAACAAATGATGACGGATCTGCATGTTCATGAGGGAAATAAGTATTTGATCCCCTATCATTCAGCAGGATTTCTGGCTACCAGGTGTCTTTCATACAGGTAACAAGCTGAGATTAGAAGCAGTCTCTTAAAGGGAGTGCTGCTAATCTCTGTTACCTGTATAAAAGACACCTGTCCACAGGAGCAATTAAACAATCAGATTCCAAACTCTCCACCATGACAAAGACCAAAGAGCTGTCCAAGGATGTCAGGGACAAGATTGTAGACCTACACAAGGCTGGACTTGGCTACCAAACTATCACCAAGCAGCTTGGTGAGAAGGTGACAACAGTTGGTGCAATCATTCCCAAATGGAAGAAACACAAAACAAGTGTCAGTCTCCCTAGGTCTGGTGCACCATGCAAGATCTCACCTCGTGAAGTATGAATGATCATGAGAACAGGAGGAATCATCCCAGAACTACACGTGAGGATCTTGTCAATGACGTCCAGGCAGCTGGGACCAAGAAAGCACATGTCCAGGCCCGTCTGAAGTCTGCCACTGAACATCTGAATGATGCAGAGGAGGACTGGTTGAAAGTGTTGTGGTCAGATGAGACCAAAATCGGGCTCTTGGACATCAACTCAACTCGCCGTGTTTGGAGGAGGAGGAATGCTGCCTATGACCCCAGGAACACCATCCCAACTGTCAAACATGGTGGTGGAAACAATCTGCTTTGGGGGTGTTTTTCTACTAAGGGGACAGGACAACTGCACCGCATCAAAGGGACGATCACCGGGGCAATGTACTGTCAAATCTTCAGTGAGAACCTTCTTCCCTCAGCCAGGGCATTGAAAATGGGTCGTGGATGGGTGTTCCTGCATAACAATGACCCAAAACACACGGCCAAGGCAACATTCGATTTTTAGACCGATCATTTCTTTGTGAGTGGAAGAACATTCAAAATCAGCAGGGGAGCAAATACTTAATTTATTTCACTGTATGTATATATACACACACACACACACACACACACCATAGTTTGTGAATTTTATAAAAGATTATTTATTAGAAAAAAATGAAAAAAAAAAAAAAAACTAAACAAAAACACAGCTATGATTACACACTACCAAAAGAAAGCCCTGTTTGTGTGAAAGAAATATATAAAAAAAACCCACAAATATGTCATATGGGTAATTGTCAAAGTGTGACAGCGCTGAAAGCTGAAAATTATCCTGGGCGGGAAGGGGGTGAAAGTATCTGCTACTGAAGTGGTTAATATCAATAAAGATATGCCTATTGACTAAAGTTAAAACAGGTGTCTGATCTCCATGGAGGATGTACGGGGAATGCAAGCTTCCTATCTACATGGAGGATGAATGGAGGGGGAGTACAGGCTTCCAATCTCCATGGAGGATGAACAGGGAGTACAGGCTTCCAATCTCCATGGAGGATGTATGAAACGGGAGTACAGGATTCTCATTTCCATGGAGGATGTACGGGAATACAGGCTTCCCATCTCCATGGAGGAGGATGTACGGGAATACAGGCTTCCCATCTCCATGGATGGAGGATGTACGGGAATACAGGCTTCCCATCTCCATGGAGGATGTACGGGGAATACAGGCTTCCCATCTCCATGGAGGATGTACGGGGAATACAGGCTTCCCATCTCCATGGAGGATGTACGGGAATACAGGCTTCCCATCTCCATGGAGGATGTACGGGGAGCACAGGCTTCCCATCTCCATGGAAGATGTACATGGGGGAGCACAGGCTTCCCATCTCCATGGAGGATGTATGGGGAGCACAGGCTTCCCATCTCCATGGAGGATGTACGGGGAGCACAGGCTTCCCATCTCTATGGGGAGCACAGGATCTGTACGGGGAGCACAGGCTTCCCATCTCCATGGAGGATGTACGGGGAGCACAGGCTTCCCATCTCCATGGAGGATGTACGGGGAGCACAGGCTTCCCATCTCCATGGAGGATGTACGGGGAGCACAGGCTTCCCATCTCCATGGAGGATGTACGGGGAGCACAGGCTTCCCATCTCCATGGAGGATGAACGGGGAGTACAATATTCCCAACTCCATGGACGATGTACGGGGAGTACAGGATTCCCATCTCCATGGAGAATGTACGGGGATACAGGCTTCCGATCTCCATGGAGGATGTACGGGAATACAGGCTTCCGATCTCCATGGAGGATGTACGGGAATACAGGCTTCCGATCTCCATGGAGGATGTACGGGAATACAGGGCTTCCGATCTCCATGGAGGATGTACGGGAATACAGGATTCCGATCTCCATGGAGGATGTCTCCATGGGGATGTACGGGAATACAGGATTCCGATCTCCATGGAGGATGTACGGGAATACAGGATTCCGATGATCTCCATGGAGGATGTACGGGAATACAGGGTTATGATCTCCATGGAGGATGTACGGGAATACTGGATTCCGATCTCCATGGAGGATGTACGGGAATACTGGATTCCGATCTCCATGGAGGATGTACGGGAATACTGGATTCTGATCTCCATGGAGGATGTACGGGAATACTGGATTCTGATCTCCATGGAGGATGTACGGGAATACTGGATTCTGATCTCCATGGAGGATGTACAGGAATACTGGATTCTGATCTCCATGGAGGATGTAGGGGAATACCATGGAGGATGTAGGGGAATACTGGATCTCCATGGAGGATGTAGGGGAATACTGGATTCTGATCTCCATGGAGGATGTAGGGGAATACTGGATTCTGATCTCCATGGAGGATGTACGGGGAATACTGGATTCTGATCTCCATGGAGGATGTAGGGGAATACAGGATTCTGATCTCCATGGAGGATGTACGGGGAATACTGGATTCTGTATGTAGGGGAATACTGGATTCTGATCTACAGGATTCCCATCTCCATGGACGGGGAGATGATTCCCAACATGGAGGGTACGGGGAGTACAGGATTCCCATCTCCATGGAGGATGTACGGGGAGTACAGGATTCCCATCTCCATGGAGGATGTACGGGGAGTACAGGATTCCCATCTCCATGGAGGATGTACGGGGAGTACAGGATTCCAATCTCCATGGAGGATGTACGGGGAGTACAGGATTCCCATCTCCATGGAGGATGTACGGGGAGTACAGGATTCCCATCTCCATGGAGGATGTACGGGGAGTACAGGATTCCCATCTCCATGGAGGATGTACGGGGAGTACAGGATTCCCATCTCCATGGAGGATGTACGGGGAGTACAGGATTCCCATCTCCATGGAGGATGTACGGGGAGTACAGGATTCCCATCTCTGGAGGATGTACGGGGAGTACAGGATTCCCATCTCCATGGAGGA